TGGGTAATAGGCATCAACACATGAACCACCTCAAGCAATACCGACATCCACCACAAACGGCATTCGAATGCATCAAGAATGTGCAAATGAAAAGTTCTCACCCTATTCACAAATCAATGCAAGTCTCGACAAGACCACTCACTAACCACAACTAACCGTGCATAGAGTTCAAGTCCAAGGAACAAACAACAGGGCAACATAGGTCCTCACCGGGATAAAGTATGATCATGCAATATGTGAATGAATCACTCATTCTCGACTAGTGGGGTCAAGACCTTTTGGTGCTAAAGATGTGCACAACCATCAACACTCAACCCTATCGTCTCTCCACCACGACGGCAACCTCTAAATGCTAGATTTCACGCGATGGTTGTCATCACTAGCTTGTCCGGAGGTCTTAGACACGGGTTCAAATGACTGGCAATTGTCTTGGACATGGGAAAAGGCATTTTGGGTGGTGGCAAACATAGCATGAGGTCCTACATCTTCAACCTAAAACCAAAGGTTATATGGTTTTGACTAAGAACCTTTCCTACAATCAACGACCACTAGCATCGGCCAAAAACCACACTTCTCTTCTTCCAAACCACTACCAATCACGAACTTCATTCAAGCGCACTTCTTCTGTCTATTCTTGCTATCCCCAATTCCATCATAATAGTGAAGGAGGTCATCAAACAATTTAGGTGTTTTAATGGCTTGAGTGCCAAGAAATCCTTCCTAGGGCATACACTTAGACTTTTGTGGGCACTCTATACTTTTATTTACCCCTTTTTATTACCTCTTTTTGGTTTTTTTTTGTTGCTCTTTCTTACCTTTTTCTCTTTTTTTCGAGTGGGGATACTAGAGAGTAAAACACATGCCACTTATCCTTTAACGAACAATGCTATCTATAAATAACTTTCCTCCAATATTGCCTTTCCATTCTTAGCAAGAACCGTGCAAAACCACCTATGTAGAACCTCAATGGAGCTCAAAAGCGAGAACTTCGAGAGACAAGGATGACTCACACTTTGACACGAAGAAAGGATGAGGTTCGTTCTTTCAATCACCATTAAGCTCAACAAGCACAAAGCTCCTAACATTAGAACGACCCTTAAAGTCACACGGCTCAAAGGGGTTGACTAAGGGATAAAATGTTTCGGGACAATCAACTTTTGGACCTGGACTAATCCTATGCATCCATCATACTCACTAGTAACAATGATGAATGTTATACACCATGGCGAGAGGGATCTATCACACATGAAAAAGACGATCGACACAAATTTCACATGGCTACCTAGCCACGCAATCATCTATTCCAATTTCACAAACTTTTATGCAAGGCAATTGTGATCAAAGAGTAACCAAGTCAAGACATCTATTTATTTAAGCGCACATGAGAACTAAGATTTTGCACACACCTAATGTAACTCTCAGTCATCATAATAGGATGCACTCGATTACATGCAACAATTCAAGGTCAATGCCAAATAAACATGAGATTCACCCACAAACCGACCATTTTGATCATGCATTGCTTGGAGCCAGAGTAGTCAAAATCCCGATTTAAATCCTAAAATCCTATGCTTTTACGATTTTACTTACCTATTCCGATTCTGATTTCACTATAAAATCTATGGACCTTAAAATCCTACACTATTCACGATTTAAATCCTTTAAATCTTTAAAATCTTACGATTTTACGATTCAAATCTTTGAGTCAATTTTACTTATTTTCCCCAGAATTTGCAATATTACGCCTCTTTTTCTTCTCCCCCAACAACATCATCTAGCTCTCTCACACTAACCACCATTGACTATAATCAATTAACATCAACGTATTAATCATCATCGATTTGCCACCTCTTAACATTAACCTTGATAAATTGGAACATTAACCTTGAAAAATTATCATTGTAAGTATTATGTGCTTTTGTGTTATTCAGGATTTTCCTTACTAATATTATTTCGTCTTCATTTTTATATGGACCTTAAAATACTATGTTTTTACGATTCTGATTTTTACCCCCATTTACGATTTTACGTAAAATTTCGATTTTAACTGCTTTGCTTGGAGCCCTCAAAATTTTTAAATTTAGGCATACATCAAGGCTCCAAGCACTCAATCACACACACAAGGATAATAATAAACTACCCCTACACTTAAACTCGACATTGCCCTCAATGACGTTAAATAGGGGTAGAACGATTTTACCGCATGGCTTGGTGAATGAAAGTTGGACAATTTCCTGGGGTTGGAGGTTTGAGCTTCAAAGAGAAGACAAAACAAACACACGGACATTCTCGCTCGAGGCGAAGCTATTATACATAACAATAGTCGACATCACGATTCAAAGAAAGAAAAACTCACAAAGTACTAGTTCACACACTAAAGAAGAAAAAAAAAGAGTTTAGAGTTTCAAATGAAGAAGTGGGGCTAAAGAAATCGGCTCTGCCACATGTCTCACTCGTCGACTATCTCTCGCGAGTTGAAAGTCACTGCTCATCGTACGAAAGGATAACCTGGCGTCGAGCAATCCTCTCTAGGATCTTACGAGAGGACACCTGGATGGTGTCTCTGACAAACTGCTCCTCGTGGCCATCCACACGCTGCTCGAGGTGGGATCCGGAGGAGGAAGGACCCGTTCCGGATGATGATGCTACTGATGGTGTTGGTGCGGTACGCTAGCGGCGGCCTAGAGATCGGGTAGGCGGCTGCTCGGGCGGAGGGACCTCTGGATCCGGCTCCACTGGAGTAGGGTCCACCTGTGGCCTCAGAGCGGCCGAAGGTCTAAGTCCCTCGAGGTACTCAATCCCTCACTCTCCATGGAGCACCAGCTTCATGTTGTAGAGTGTCTCCACCGGGAATGGCTCTGTCCGGCCGATGATGGAGCATCTCATCACATCAACCCCTAAGTGTCGGGCGAGCCTCATTATGAGGGAGGACTTGTGTGGGGATTACAGGTGAGGTTAGATGTTAGAGGTAGCGAGTTGCGATGGTAAAAGGCATGGGGGCAAAAGCAGGGGATGGACGTTAGTTGAAGGTGGTAGAGGTCGAGAGAGGAAAAGATGGTGGCCGGAAGAGGAATGAGTCATGATAGGGAGAACAATTTTTCGGAACCTATAGCATTTTTATTTATTCTGTTCTTAATTAATTTTTTCCAATTTCATATTTCCAATTTTATTTTTCAAGTTTTTATAATTTTTTAATAAATAATGATGTCACCTCAGCATTGTGTGCTAAAAGTAACAGACTGAATAAATATTTGACCGTTAATATTAAATGCAACACAAATTTCGAACAAATCTGTCAATTTCTTTAAAAAATGGCCAAAATTATATTATTTGAAAATTAGAGTAAATTTTTTAATTTTCATCAAACTTCAGTCCAAACTAGATATTATCCTTATTTTTAATATATATATATTTTTCGTGATACTCTTTAATGTCTCTCCCAGGTAAGCCGGGTTGTTAACTCCATCAATTACGAATTATGATGAACATAGGGGTCGTTTGGAAGTTGCGTATGTTAAATCTTTGTATTGTTATGAATCACTATGATATAAATGCATGCATTGATACAATAGATGCATTTTGAAATTACATTGTTTGGTTGTTGAGATTATAGTTTATGAATTAATTGTTATAAAGTTACTTTATAGGAAAATGTCATATTTGTCCTCCACTTTTAATATAAAACAAAAAGAACTATGGACATAATTGGAAAAAGTAAAGGTGATCAATTATTAAACCAACAATCACAAGTTGAGATTGTACAATCTCTCATTTTTGTTGATTGTTGGTGGGACCCACAAAAAACAATACATGCATTATTTTGCAACTTAACACTTCCAAACGTTGTAATGTGGACAATGCATATATTTAACAAATACAACACTAACAATCGCAACTTCCAAACGATCCCATAGTCTTTTATTGCAATCATTCCTCTACGAATTTCCCATGAGCAAGTCATTTATATTTACTGCTATTTCCTCCCAGAATAAAGGTAATACTTTAGCCAAATCCTACATCGATAAAGTACCGGAGAGATCTATTATTCATAAGTAAAAAAGTGACGTTAACTACTAAGATGTGTTTAGGGGTAAAATGAAAGAGTTCTTGTATTTTTCTGGAAAACAAAGTTCTTGTAACAACTCAGAAATTAAACGTGCTCACCGTGAAGCACTCTAAGGACGAGTGACATCTTAGAAAACCACCTTAATATGTACACAAAATTGAAATCGTGCAAATCTAAATATGAACAATATTTTGATCGGAAAAAATTCTGAATGTTACAATAACCATGATTATCGATATCAATCGCACATTTATTAAAAAATAAAGCCACGTTATGACCTCCGCTCTTGGCATTATTCAATTTCTTATGACTACATGGTTAAATCCAAACCAAAATCTAAACTGCCATCCATCAGATGTCTTTGTGAGAGATCTTGACATGGGTACTTCATCGCTAGAAGCAGATTTTTCATCTTTCTTCTTCTTCTCTCTCTTTTCAATTTCCACATGTGTCTTGCAGTCCGAATTCCAGGTCAACATACTTGTTTCAATTTTTTCTTCTTAATTTTGGGAAACAATGTCTCAAGGTTATTGATACCCTTATTTACTAGCTATGTTAGCTACCCACTCACCAAGTTGGCTGCCAACTTTAGTTGCATCCATTCTTGACTAAATACAATCACTCTGCACTACACTCCAAGCAGGCTCCTCTTCTCAAACCCCATCTTGCTATATATCTCCACTGTCCAACCCATCTTCCCCCCCACCACACTCTCTTCCAACCCAAGAAACCTCAGAAAAAAAAAAAGAAGAAAAACCAAACCATGGCACTTGTCGTTAATGTCGCCTTCCTGCAGCTACAGATTCTCGCGGGTTTGTTGATCATCAACATTTTCTCCTTCTCCCCTACAAGCCTGGTCGCCAGCCAGCCTGCCCTGACATTGGACTACTACTCCAAAACCTGCCCGACCGTCTTTGAGGTCGTAAGGAAAGAGATGGAATGCGCCGTGCTGTCCGATCCTCGTAATGCAGCTAAGATCGTCAGGCTGCACTTCCATGACTGCTTCGTTCAGGTGATTCGAATTAAGCTACCCACATATATGTCAGTTGATTTTATGTTACATCTTCAATTCTCAATTAATACATGTGTCAACTTATTGTGGTCTTTCAGGGGTGTGACGGGTCGGTTTTGCTCGATGATACGATTACCTTGCAAGGGGAGAAATCCGCCACTCCGAACGTGGATTCACTCAAAGGGTTCGAAATCATCGACAGTATTAAAAACAAGGTGGAATCTGATTGCCCTGGCGTTGTTTCCTGTGCTGATATCCTCGCCATTGCTGCCAGAGATTCTACCGTTCTGGTATATATGCGTGTCACTTTTTTTTTTCTCACTTTGTTCAAACACTACTATGGCAAATGTTCAATGGTGATCGATTTCCCTTGGCTGGCTGGCTGGCAGGTTGGTGGACCTGACTGGGAGATGTATTTAGGGAGGAAAGATTCTAAAACTGCGAGCTATGAGCTTGCTAACTCAAACCTCCCAGTTCCATCAGAGGGCATTCTGCCAATCATCACCAAATTCCTTTACCAAGGGCTCTCTGTTACCGATATGGTGGCCCTCTCAGGTAATAACCTATATATATCTCTGTTTTGAGAATTGGGTCGGAGGCGGAACCGGAAAAGTTAGTGGTTTAGCGTTCAGTGGTCAACCGTTATAAAGCCGTTGATAGAACCGTTTATGATATATTACATATATGACTTGTATATTACAGTAATTTAATAATGAAATTATCATTGACCATAAACAAATTCAAATTCATATCATCGCCAAAATATCTAATAAATCATTCCATCCATCTCACAAAAGAAACCACATTTTTTTTTAATTCAAATTAAAAATTACAGTTCTAGTCGATGCTCGGTAGTAGACAACGTAAAGTCGACCAGTGTTCCAGTTAAATCATTTTTTTTGTTTGTTTGTTAAAATAGTGAACTGGTGGACCAATTAAACCGTGTTGGTTCATCTGATTTTATGTTGAACCGTGAAAAACCATTTGGTCTATCAATAACCGTCCAAACACTAAACCGAACCGGACCGCTATCGTAACTGGTTTGACGGTCCTACTTACCCAACCATTGATCCGGTTCGGTTCTTATAACGAATTCTGATAACAACAATTTCATAATATTTGGTGCATTATTATGAATACAGGGTCGCACACGATCGGGGTGGCGCGGTGCCAGAATTACAGGGCAAGGATCTACGGTGACTACACGGTAACCGCCGATCAATCCACGGCCTCCGAGTCCTACCTCAACGACCTGAGAGCCTCGTGCCCCGCGGCGGGAGGAGACGACGACACGGTTGCTCCCATGGACAACGTTACGCCCAACTTGTTCGACAATTCGTATTATCAAATCCTGTTGAGAGGGGAAGGGTTGCTGAATTCCGACCAGGAGATGTACTCCAGCTTCCTCGGTGTCCAGACCAAGCAGCTCGTCCTTCAGTACGCACACGACCCGCTCGCTTTCTTCCATCAGTTCGCGCAGTCGATGGTCGCGATGGGCAACATTACCAACGCCGTCGATGGCGGCGAGGTCAGGAGGAACTGCAGATTTGTGAATACTTAGAAACCAGAGAAGAGAAGAGAAGAGAAGGAAAGGGGGGATTTGATTTGGGGGATTATTGTTATTATTATTGGTTTATTTGCCGAGAGTATAATATATGGTATTTAAATTAATTTGGGAGTGTGACCATTAAGTGGGAGCTACTAGTATCACATGTCCGAATCATGTATGATCAATTTATATAATGTATGTGAGTTGTGAAGTCATTTTGCTTGGAAATTATTGGGATGAATTATCTTATGATCAGCGGGAATTCTGCCGTGCACTATGGGATAGGTTACGGTGATTATTATATATTATGATTTTTTTTAATAAATTATCTTTTAGGAAATTACATAAATATATTAAATACAATTTTAATCTCTCTCTTTCTCTCACTTCGACAATTTTTCAGCCAGATCTCTTTTCCTTCTTTTTCTCAATCTTTCCTTGATTTCGTTCATCCAAACTAATACCGCTGCAACAAAAAAACAATAAATCAATACCAATCCATTAAAAATACTACCATTGTACAAAACATCAATACCATTCGAGAAATAAAAACACTACCATTTCACAAAACATCAATACCATTGCAGATTTAATCACTACCAATGCGACAAAATCAATACCAATGTAACAAAATCAATACCAATGCGACAAAATCAATACCAATGCGACAAAAATAATACCAATGCGACAAAAACAATACCAATACGACAATAACACTACCACTACAGGGAAAAATGACTACCATTTAAAAAAAATCACTACGGAAAAAAATGACTACCATTTAAAAAAAACATACCAATCCGAACGGAACGACAGCCCTACGCGCACGGAACGACGAGTCCAATCGGGGGCGACGGAGATGATGGAACAGACGGCGGAGGTTGCGCCGTTAACCATGCCAATGTAATTACTGTGACTCACGAAATTGAGACCCTTGGGCAAGTAGAAGAAAATCTGGAGCAGATCTGCAAGAACAGAGCACCAATTTGATTAGAATCGGAAGAATTGCAGATTCCCCATTGTAGTGAGTGAAGAAAAGTTACCATCTTGGGTAACAAGAGGGTAATCAGCAGCTCCCAGGCGAACAAACCAATCCCAATTCTTGGACAACTTCAGCAACAGAGACGCGCCGTGTAAAGTAGCCGCAACCGGCGACGACCCTCGCCGGTATGCAAAATCCGGCTTCCCAATCACATCTACATTCTGGGAAGCCCGGAAAACGGGGACCGATTCGACGGCCAGGGCCAGCCGTTCCCGCTCGGCCGGCGTGGCGGAGGGGTCGAGGTGGAGCAAGTAGCGGTTTTTTGGGTGGTAGACGGCGTAGAGGAGGTGGAGGATCCGATTGGAGTCGCCTTTCGATCCGTTGATCAGGTAGGCGACGGAAGGCGTGGCGGGATCGACTGTAGAAGTAGGGTTAGGGTAGAATATATAGAATAATCCAGTGTGGTCTTTTTTTTTCTTCCAAAATTATCCTGATGCAATCTTAACCGTAAGATCAAAAAAGGAGGAAAGAGAAGAAAATAAATGGTGGATATTGATGTAGCCATGGTGGCTACTAAAAATTCAGTCACCACTCTAACGCATTCCCGTACACTATTAATCGGTTGTGTTGCTTGTTTTCTAATTTTTTATTTTATTTCCGGTTATGCTTTAACAATGACAAATATTAAAGGGTAATGTCTATTTTTAATCCAAACTTTTTTTCACGTTATTTTATATTATCTAAACTTATCGAAATATTAAGAATTATTCAAATGTTAATTTTTCAGTTAGCAATTTTGGTAGTACTGTTGACTTGACAACATGATACTGACTTGAAAGATACACATGAATGTTAACATTCCAAAATTTTAGTATTTTAATTAAGAAAAAAGTTAAAAAATTATAAACGATAACGTAAAAATGACTAATATTTTAATGCATTACGAAAGATTTGACACATTAATAGCATTTTAATAGGTTTTGTTAATATAAAAAAAATCTAAAAAAGATTTGGATAGAAAATAAACATTACCTAATATTAAATTATCTTCTCCTGCTCATGAGATTGACTTTCTAGCTTTTGCTTCAACTTTTTAGGTGATTTAAATTATAGTTACTAATACATTGAATGTGTATGTTACATTTTTTTGTCAAAGATATTCCCAAAAGGGACCAGTTAGATACGAATTGGAAGTCTTTTCAAGCAACCATAATAATACAAATAAGAGAAAGGAACGTCGGTCGATAAATAGCCGAACCATCGATAAGAGAGCATTTTTCGCCACGCAACAGGCAGTTTTTTATACATATATGGCATAAGCAATATCCATGACTTCTATCCTATAAAGGAGAAATCATGGAACTAACCATGCTGAAAGTGACTTTTTATTTAATTATTAGACATACCATTAATTTAATTTGATGAATTAGTAAGCTTTTATATCATAAAAAAGAGACCCAAAACTTTTGGCAACAACCCTGCCAACTAAGTCACTGTAGACACTGTAAAACTGTTTCAAACCTTCCTATGCAATTACAAACGAGAAACCTATAAAAATGAACCAAGAGTGAAAGGTTAACAAGTCCAAAAACTTTCCACAACTTCAGCAGGAAACAACACTGTAACATCCTGTTTGATTCTACCTATAAGCTCCTGGAAACTTTTCTTAGATCCTCCATGCTTCAGGTAACACCTTTCTCGCCAAATGATACTGATCAGTGCCCTCCAAATCGCCTTAGCAGTTTGATTTCTCAACTGCTTCCCTTTTAGATGGTGCGAGACCCACTGCAACTCTAAGTTCCAGTCATCCGAAGGAATTCTCAGATAAGCTTTTCCAAGCAACTGCAAACAGTTCTTTATACACCACACATTCACCAAAAAGACGATCTCTAGTCTCCAAAGAGCAATAGCAGAACACACATGAGTAAGGACCACTTCCTCCCCATCTGGTCACCTTATCAGAAGTAGTGATAAAGTTCCTTACAACCAACCAGACCAGGAATATGTCCCTTTGAGAAGATAAACCTTTCCAGACAAGAGAACACCAGGGTGCAGTGACTCCTCTTGGCCTGAACGATTCCCAAACCATCTTAATACAATACTTCTTCATAATTTTCCCATTCCACAGAACCTCTCCATTCACCACAGACATCTGCAAACAGATTCTATCTCTGCTCTTCAACAACTTTAACCAGATCCAAGAGCCAATTTTGGATTGAAAAGTCCAAAAATCATGATTCTTCAGCCTATATTCCCATACCATTAATTTAAAGATGAAGTAAAATGCACATATATTTTTTTTATGTAACATACACATACAATATTTTAGTAACTATAATTTAAATAACAAACAAAATTGAATAAAAAATTAGAACGTTAATGACATGAGCAGTAGAACGTGATATAATATTTCTAGCATAACCGATAATAAGCAAAAAAAAAAAAAAAAGGAACAACCGGTCAAATGGTGACGACACTGATCCTGTGCCGGCACATCAGAATTCCCCTCTTATCATATATCAATTCGAGTTAAAAAAAAAGTAGACTGAAGAGTTATGTATTTGTTCAGAGGGTTTTAGGGAGGGATTATGAACTGAGAGCATTATGGGTTTCTCCTCTCCTATATATATCAGAGTGTATAGAGAAGGACTAAAATAAGGTGATTAAAGGGGTCCTTTAGTCAAATGAATAAGTGAATCTCGGCTTTTACATTTCATTAAAATATAATGGCTCAGATTAATCCAATGTAATGAAGGAAAATTTTTTAATTGCATGATTTTATTAATTTTCAATTTTAATTAATTAAAAAAACCTATGTGAGCAGGTGCCCGCCGCTGCGCCTGTTATTGCTAGGAATAAGTCCGCCGGACACTTTTATTCCTTTGCTGGGGAATTTCTATCCAAGAGAGAGAGAGAGAGATTTTTCGGACGGCGGAGGAGGATTTTTCGGCGGCTATGCTGGATTCGTGATGTTTGTTGACATATTTTGTAATTTTTATAAGTTCAATTTGTAATGTTTGTATCAATTGGGTTTGTACAGTTTATCATTCTGGTTTGTTATTTTTGTCTATAGTGTTTTTAGTGTTTATATGACTAATTTATATTTATTTTGATTTATAATATTTGTTAGTCTCATATGTGTACTTTATGTTATGATTTGTGTACTTTGTATTCATTGATTTGTAATACAATTTTACCGATTTGTATTGTAAGTAGTGTTTTTTTTTGTACGGTTAGTATGCTTTGTAATGTTTATCGGTTTATTTTGTAATGTTTGTCAATTTCTTTTGTAAGGTTTTTAAGATTTGTTATTTTTGTCAACCATGTTTGTAATGTTTTTATTGGAAAAAAACAACCTGGTTGACTTTTTTACGTAACTCTTCTATATAGAGATGGAGTCTCCAAAATCAGCCCGAGTGTTTTTTCTATTTTTTATGGTTTGTCAGTCTAGTTTGTAATTTTTGTCAACCATTTTTGTAATATTTGTATGTCTAAAAAATAATCGGGTTGACTTTCGGACGGTGCCCCTCTATATAGGGATGAAGCCTCCAAAGTTACCCTGGTTGTTTTTCCATTTTTTATGTTTTGTATTGTTTGTCGGTCTACTTTGTATTGTTTGTATATTTCATATGTTTCTATTGTTTGTGAATTTGTTTGTATGTTTTGTCGTTCTAGTTTGTCCTGTTTGTATGTTTGTTTTGTATATTTCGTAATGTTTCATAATACTCAAACTACCCCTGTCAGTTATTAAAAAGCTCTTCCTATTTATTAACCGTTGGATTTATGCAACCAGATCTTAGTGCGGAGAGGGGCTTAGTCAAGTGACTAAGCACCCCCTAGTCACCTTATCCGCTTTCGTACAGAGGAAGCTGAGATTAATAAAGACTAATCTACATAAAACAAACTAAAATCAAATTATAAGATACATGCCAATTAAAACAACAAAGCAACCATGTACATCAGACAAAGAAAATTAAGTTATCTGCATATGATTGACTAATGACTGGGCAAAGATTATGTGAGCTTAGCTTATACCACATTATGCATGCTTGCTTCAATCATAAAGTGACTTTCTTGATTTTGCATACTTTAACTTTGAATTCACTTTGATTCTTGAAACCTGGCAAATACCATGTAAACTCTTCGTCTAACTCACCATTCAAAAGACGTAATTTACATCCATTTGGTGCAAATTTAAGTTCCGAATGGAAGCCACATCTATCAACATTGAGAAATTTTACAATGCTATATAGTATTGGTGCTATAGGTTTTTGCCTTTATGGTACAATTTAAAATTGTACATTTACGTTATGGTACAACTTCATATTGTACCTATACTTTTGGTACAAATTCTTTTATGGTACAACTTGAACTTGTACCTTTATGTGATGATACAACTTCAAGTTGTAAAGTTGTACCATAACATAATGGTACAAATTGCTTTATGGTACAACCTAAACTTATACATTTAATGTTATGGTACAACTTTAAGTTGTACATTAAAGCACCAATCAGGGGCGGAGCTAGGATTTGACATTCGGGGGGGCCGAAAATTATTTAATACTATAACCGCAGAAGGGTGATAAAAAAAATTAAAACTAAGCAAGACAATCAAAGTAAATTTTACTTTTATTAGTATTATGATTAATCATTTTAGATGATTAGAGTCAAAATATTGATGTAGAATAACTTATGAAAGGTCAAAATGGATAATTTTTCAGTGAAATAAATTGCAAAGTGGTAAAAAAAACTAAACTTGAAATTAAATGAGTCAAGAAATAATATTGAAATAATGAAATGAAGAAATCATAACATGAAACTTGAAAGATTAATTATATCTAATTAAATGAGTCAAGAAATAATAAATTTAAAAGAGTAATTATGTAGATATATTAAAATAAAAAGCAAAAAAAAAGTAACAGAATTGCAAAGGGTAGGGATCGAACCCTCAACCAGCTGTATCATAACTCATGTACTCCCCGCTTGACTAAGCCTACTTTGTTTAAACAAATTTGCACACTAAACATATTAGCCCTTTGTTAGTTTTTACGAAATTTTCAAAATATCGATACAGTTTAGACGTAACTTTCACGATTCTCGGGGGGGCCGGGGCCCCCCCGAGACCAGCTGTAGCTCCGCCCCTGGCACCAATACTATATAGCATAGTAGAAGTGCTCATTAACATTTTCAGATAAGTTATCTTATAAACATGAAAATAAAATTCACAATTTCCTATTTAAAGTATGTGGTGGAGCTAGGGTGATCTAGATTACCTTTTATATGCATGATGATTGTTACATAGTTTAGTCATAATTCTTAA